TGAGACGGAGGTGTCCGGTCATGAGACAGAGCAGGCATAACAAGAGGGGAACGAGGTGGGATACGGGTCGGGGACGAGTTTGCGGAGGAAACACAGGACCGTGGATAGGAAGAGGAGGAGGTGGCGGGGGAAGCGCAGGCGAGCGGTCGGGGGAGGGAAGGCCAGCAGGCAAAGGGCGGACACCGGCGGCGATTGCTGCTGCTGCTTGACGCCGACACCTGGACCTCCAGCTGCACCACAGTCACCTCCGGAACACTCCACTCCAGCACCCTCTGAACAAGCACCCCGAGAGCAAGAACCTTCTCCAGCACCGGTGCCACCCCCGAGCCTGCCGGGACAAGCCTTTACAGGAACCCCAGGACTAGCACCCCCCTCAATGCCAGCACACCCAGAGTCCACGAACGGCTGCGGCTGCTTCGACGGCGGCAACGGCTGCTGCGGTGGCGATGACGACGGGGGAGGAGGAGATCACGGGGGAAGGACAGGCGGCGCAAACTGCACCGCGGGGACACCAGAGTCAGCGGACTCCTCGACCGGGGCAACCGATGGGAGGGGAGTGACGTGAGACACACCAGATGAAGCACGACGGGGAGGGAGGGGAGCAGGGGCGACCGAGGGAGTGGGAACCAGAAACAGGAGGGGGGAAACCAGGAGACCTCGGTGGGGAAAGCAGTGATCAAACGAGACAGACTCGTCGAGGGTGGCGTTACGGGAGTGAAAGAAGCGGTGAGACGGCGGGTGGTAAAAGTGTCAGTCGGACGAGTCAAGGGGGAAACCGAGGAAGACACAGAGGATAGTGCGGACAATGAGCTTGTCCGTGCCGGAGGCACGAATGTGAGCGAGGCAGCCCCAAACGTGGAACGCAGATGCGTCACCAGGGAACCCGGTCCAAAGAAGGGTCAGCGGGAGCGCGGCCAGAGGTTAAGCTGGTGAGCGGCGTAGCGAACGGCGAACGGCCACAGAAATTGGGGTGCACCGGCATGGATCATGGAGGTACGAGCCACCTTCTTGACCAAACCGATGTGTCACTCAGCGACCCCATTCTGCTGCAAGGAGTCCGGCAGGGTGTACGTCTGGGTGATGCCCTCCGCACGACAGAACTAAAAAAGCCGACCAGAGGCGAACTCGCCGCCATGGTCGGAGTGGAGACACAGCACAGGGAGACCGCGGTGGAGGCGCACAGCTACTAACCACGGGATAAGAATGTCAGGCACGTCGGCCTTCCGCTCCAGGGGAAACATTGTGGTGTAGCTCGTGAAGTCGTCGACGAGCACGAGAAAGTAGCGCTCGCGACGCGGTCCAGGGACGGGGGCTGGGCCCCAGACATCCAAGTGCAGGGTCTGGAGGGGTGCAGTGGCAGGGCGAAGCGAGGAAGGGTGAGGAGCACGGCGCAGCCGGCCCTCGATGCAGGGCGTGCATGGCGGCGAAGGCGAGGGAGGGAGGGCAGGGAGCGACACAGAGAGGCCTAGGATGAGACTGTGCTGAGACATGTGACGCAGACGCGGGAGCGCGGGGTGACCTATGCGGTGGTGCCACAGAAGTGACGGGTGAGTGAGTGACCGACACGAGCACGCAGCGGCGACCTGGATAGATGCAAGACCTGGGGAGGACGCCCCACCCAGGGGGGAAGGAGTGTCCAGCATAAACAGGCCAGACATCGGGTCCCAGGGGAACGTCGCAAGGGGGGCACCTGAGGCAGTCTCGGTACAGACAGCGTACCGCTCGTGACCAGGGAATATAGTGGTGACGCCGCGGTACTGAAGACAGCCGACACCAACTAAGTTCCTGGAGAACGAACGGATGTGCAGGCCTGTAAGGGAACCCGAGGGAACCGCCAGACAAGGAAGGGTAGTGCAGCTCTGAGCAACCACAAGACCAGAGGAGGGGCCAGCAAGTGCGACAGCGGCACGCGTGGCAAGCAGCGTGAGGGTGGCGTGGTCGCGGAAGAAACAAGTTGAAGCACCAGAGTCAAGCGTGAAGAATAGCGAAACCGCAGCGGAAGAATGAAGGAGGAAGTGTAGAGCCTAGGCTAGACAAGGCAAGTGGTCCTACGCCTGACGCAGCAGGGGAGTCTGGATTACACACAGGAGCTATGTCTAAGCTAGAGAACACAGAGTAATAAGATCCAGAAACACTCGAAGCGTCAGCATACAAAGAATGCAGGGCAGAACTAATCCGATCCATGTCTAGGTCAAACACAGGCACACCGTGGCGCAGCAGACTGGCCAGTCAGGGAGGTCCGGGGCTGGACCGAAGCGGCGACGGAAGAGGTCGTCGAGGCGGCGGAAGCAGCGAGCGGTCGGGTGCGAGCAGCAGCACACCGTGCCACAAAGGGGCCCGGTCTAGAGCTGGTACTGACAGCTCACAGCACCGAAGCCGCCGGTGGACGCCGAGCTGCGAGAGCCACCACCGCGACCACCACCTCCAGGGGCTCCTGGCCACCTCGGCGGGAGGCGAGCCCACGGCTGCTGCTGCTGCTGCTGCGACAGCTGCTACGACGGCTGCTGCTGCTGCTGCGGCTGCGACTGCTGCTGTTGCTGTGACTGAGGCGAATACTGCTGCTCCGGACATTGTCAGAACCACTGTCCCCGCCACCACCACCACCAGCGCCACCACCACGTCCTCCCTTGGGGCCATGGCAACCCCGGTGCTGGCGCTGCTGCGGGAAAGCCGCAGCTGCTGTCTCAGTGGCAGGGGCAGTCGTGGCAACTGCGTCTGAGACGTCAGCGTACGTGCACTGGGAGGGAGCGCAGCCCTAAAAGATAGGGACTGCCGCAACACCGCTCGACTGAGCGATAGTGCGCTGGCGAGTCTCTATCTCAGACAGAGCAGTGACAAAGGCGGTCAGGGTGAGGTCTCCAGGGTGCTGACTAAGGAAGTGGTCGCGGGCAATGGCTAAGCGGTAAGGCAGGCGCATGGCAATGAGGTACAGGGTAGCGCAGAAAGGTGGGGGGAAGGCAGTGAGCTGGGCGGCAGAGCTAGCAGCGTGGTAGCTGGTCTCTAGTGCACGGAGGTGAGTAGCGAGGTCAACTGGCCAGCAGAGGCAGAAGCAGGTGTGGAGTAACGCTCAACTACTGCAGCGAGAAAGTCCTTGACGTTCGCGACAGCGGTGAAGCGCGGACGCTTAGACAAGGGAAGGGCATGGCTAATGGAAGCTGCGCGACTGCATCGCAGACAGCGCGAACGAGCGCAGAAGCAGCAGCAAAGGCCTCGCTCTCATCAGTGGTACGGTCAGCAGGGAATGGAGCAGGCGCAGGGGGGCGGGGTAGCAAGCCATCAACATGCATAGACAGGGAGTGCCCATCCCGGCACTGACCTGTCAGGTGACGGCGGAGGTCGACGAGCCAGGCGGCGAAGTCGATCGCATGCCCCTCAGCGTCCAAGCGAAGAATGGCGTCCGCCATCGCACAGTGAGACAGCGGAACAGCGGCTCGGCGGCACAGCGACACGGCGGCTCTGCGGCTCGGCGGCTCGGTGGCACAGCGGCTCGGCGGCTCAGCTACACAGCGGCTCAGTGACACGGCTGCTCAGCGGCTCGGCTGAAGGGTGCTCCAGCGGGGGAAACAGGGCAGGGGGCCGAGGAGGGCCGGAGGCGTGCAGGGCCGGTGGGAGCGACGAGGGGCCAGCTCGGGCGCAAGGGGCCGACAAGGGCTCGAGGGGCCTGCTAGGGCGCGAGGGGCCGGCTAGGGTGCGAGGGGCCCCTAGGGGTGCGAGTGGCCGGTAGGGGCGCGCGGGGCCGGTAGGGGCGCAAGGGGCCGGTAGGGGCGCTCGGGGCCGGTAGGGGTGCGAGGGGTCGGTAGGGGCGCTCGAGGCCCATAGGGGCGCGAGGGGCCGGTAGGGGCGCGCGGGGCCGGTAGGGGCGCGCGGGGCCGGTAGGGGCGCACGGGGCCGGTAGGGGCGCGCGGGGCCGGTAGGGGCGCGAGGGGCCGGTAGGGGCGCGCGGGGCCGGTAGGGGCGCGAGGGGCCGGTAGGGGCGCGAGGGGCCGGTAGGGGCGCGCGGGGCCGGTAGGGGCGCGAGGGGCCGGTAGGGGCGCGCGGGGCCGGTAGGGGCGCACGGGGCCGGTAGGGGCGCGAGAGGCCAGTAGGGGGGGCGCGGGGCCGGCTAGGGCGCGAGGGGCCGGTAGGGACGCGCGGGGCCGGCTAGGGCGCGAGGGGCTGGCTAGGGCGCGAGGGGCGACGAGGGCACAAGGGGCTAGCTAGGCGCGGTAGGCTAGGGCGAAGGGCGGAAGCGGGTGGGTGGACCTACCTATCATGATACCATGTTAACTAGAATGAATGATGAATACAAGGGAGAACAAGGGAGATATAGTGTTGGGGTTGTACCCTCTAAGAACATACACCTATCTAGCCTATAACTTCTACATGTCAATATATGTATAAGTTGACAGCACAGGCGCTCTTCAGGACATGGATCAGTTCTGGGTGCTTTACTGTCACCTGTGACGGGGGGAAATGCATTGACGGGGAATGATGGTGTGAAGGAGGCCTGGCATAGAGATTGTTCCTAGTTTAAGTAGTTCCGCTTGTGCTGTTTTGCAATAGACAACAACCCACTCTACGTTTTAGGAAACACCGCTATGTACCCAGCACGCGAGGAAGGGAATGCTGGCAGGGGGAGCACGATATTTTCTGAACTGAACTAGCGATGGTTGCTGGATGGACTTGACCCGTTGATTGGCCGTCCAGAACGAAGGAACTCGACGCACTACACAACTTGCCTCACCCAGCCCCCACCACACCCTCTCCAATCAAAACCAAACAAACCACTGAAGTCGGTGCGGTGGGAAAACGCGCGCCGAGAGGCGAGCTCCAGCAGGTTACGTCGCGGTCGAAAACAGTTCTTGATATCACCGCTTTGGAGCGTCACGCAACCGACTTAACCGTCTGAAAACTGTAAACCAACACGGGGGACCTGCCGTCAAGGGTCGGTCTCCTTGGGGAGCAAGAGGTGCAAAGCAAACGACGACTGCGCTGGCTGTGCGTGTCGTGCCATGCTTTGAATAACCCTTCTAACATTCGACTTGCCTCTGGGCCGCTGACACCACTCACAATCAGAAGCGTTCTTGCTTGCTGGAGACTCGAGCTCTAGGATGTTGTGCGCACATTACTGTTTAGCAAAGTAGCTTTTCTACGAGGCATATGTTCGCACCGAATCTTAGTATCAAGACAAAGTTACCGTAACGGGTAACCCACTTAAAGAACGGTTGACTTTCGTCTCCTCGAGAGTTAACATAGACCACTTACTCCTAAATGTCTCACGACAACCTCCCTCCCGTCACGTGCTCCCCCGCCTACTGCCACGTCACCTCGCCACCCGCCAAGCGCATGCCCGCGTCGCGTTCGCCTCTCGTCGCCGGCGCAGAGTACCGCAGCCCGCGCCAGCCACTTTCCGCTGCAACCCGGAACAGCCGCCGCCACGAGATGGTGCATGGGGCGTGGCTCCCCGAATGGGAGCTCGACAGCGGTGGCTTCCCGGCGGCGGCTGCAGCTCCGGGTGAAAGAGCAGACAGGAGGTACGGCGGGAAACGGCCCAACAGTGAGGTGTCTGATGCAGGGAGGGCGGAAGGACCTGCGGGGAATCACGCGGAGAGGGAGAGCATGAGCGCAGCGGATGGGAGTCGGAAGGTGGGGAATTACGAAGCGAGGGAGATGGACGAACCGGTCTCACCAGCTTGCGTGCTGGCCACGGCAGCGCGGGACGCACTAGCCATGGCAGCGGCTGACGGCTGTTCTGGCGATGATGACCTCCATGGAGCGAGCAGCGTGGGATTGGCGGGAGAGGAAAGCGCTGGGGACGCTGCTGTGGCGGAGGGGTTTGGCGCAGGGGTGGCGGAGTCTACGGGGAAGATTGCCGTGGCAGACGCGTGCGTTTCCCCCTCCCTACCGGCCCCTGCAGAAGTGCCTGTCCCGTCGAGGGTAGAGGCGGAACTGGATCAACGGCAGGCGGCGCTTGGGGGCTTGCTGGCGGCGCTGCAGCAGCGGATGAGCGCACTTAGGGCGCTGGCAGGCGGGGGAGGGAATGGGGAGGGTGGGGTGGTAGTATTAGGGGATGCTAGTGGAGTGGTGGATGGACAAGAAGAGCAGCTGCTGGCGGAGGAAGTAGAGGAGGAGGATGGGACGGAGGATGGGGTTGGTGTGGTGGATGAGGAGAGGAGAGAAGGGGAGGTGAACGACGTGTGTTGCGACAGAGAAGCAGAAGTATTGCAGCGGGCGTCAGAGGGCGTTTGCAGAGAAACAGGTGCTGCTGCTGGCAGCGTAGGGAGTACAGAGAGCTCAGCCAGTGGCAGTGTTAGAAGCGAGGGGCATGGGGACAGCGCCAGCAGCGTGGATTCGGAGCATGGCACATCGTCCAAGGACCAAGATGAGCAGCGAAGCAAGAGTGGTGCAGCAAATTGTACGCCAGACAGTCCCGGTGCTAGCATAAGTGGTGTGGAAAGAATGGGAGGAGTGCGTCATGGGGAGGTTAAAGATGTGTCATTTGTAGGCAAGGAAGCTGTAGTTGGTGAGGAGGTTGGTGCAAGATACAGGCAGCTTGAGCTTCCATGTGTGTTGTCTGACGATTCCGATGACGACCACTTCTACGATTTGCCTACGTCACCCTCCTCCCTCTTATCCGGACCCTCCTCTCCCCACTGGCTACTGCATTTGCAGTCAGCATCGTCATCAGCTTCCTCACCAGCTGCAGCAGCAACAGAACCAGTACTGGAGGCTGATCGTTTGGGGATTCAAGCCCTTCCTCTCTCCCAACATCCAGCCTTGCCTCTTCAGCTTTTCTTGTGGGTCATCTCTTGTTGCTCACGTAGACTCTGGTGAGCATGTCATGGGAGGCTGCATGGATAGCAGGTGCATAGATGTTAGTGTGAAACACTTTTGATGGTGTAAATTGAGATGTAATGTTGAGCAATTCCTTTAAATTCTCTTAAAAGGTCGTTATTGGCAACCTGGTAGTACGGTAACAGGGATGTCACTAACAGAATTCTTCACATCCCTGAGTCATGAGGGAAGCAAAGTGTAAGGTGTTGAGTGACCCGCTGGGGTTGCCCTTGAGATCCTCGGGGAAGGGCCACAGGTGCAGAGCCTGGGGGGCTATGGGCGCACTAACCCGCTATTCAACAAGCCCTTTTAACCCAGTGGTTAGTGACTGGGTTTCTGACATGGTATATCAGAGCCAAAGGTCTTGAGTTCAACTTGCAGTGCCAGCGCTGCAGAGGCGCTCGTGTCTTCCACCTATCCCAGCGGGGGGGGGGGTGTTGAGTGACCCGCTGGGGTTGCCCTTGAGATCCTCGGGGAAGGGCCACAGGTGCAGAGCCTGGGGGGCTATGGGCATACTAACCCGCTATTCAATAAGCCCTTTTAACCCAGTGGTTAGTGACTGGGTTTCTGACATAAGGAATTTCCATTCCTTACTGAATCTCCCGCTACCGCGTACACCCGAACACTTCGACTCGTCACGTTCGGCCTACATTTTCGACCCAACCCTTTCTCGAGTCGCGTCCGAACCTACCCACGTCCCGAGGTTATCGCCCTATTACGTCGACTCCTATATAACCTCGTACTTTCATTGCAATAGCGACCTTGTATTCTCACATTTTAGTTCATTGACATCTTCTAAATCATAACAGCTGGTATCAAAGCCCGAGCTTTCCAGGAACCTTCCGTTTTCCCGTTTAATTAGTTAATGGTGGTCAGAGGGGATTAACACGGCTGCACAGCAGCTGTCTTCGATCGTAAATATTTTTTCGTCAACAACTACAGCGTGTGCGCCAGTTTCTGCCCCGTCCTAACCGCCATGGCCCCGGTAGACTCGACGGTTGAGGAACAGACGACCTCGACTGCTGCGAACTCTGCCCGGGAAATTGTGGACCTGCAAGTTTTACTGGAGCAGTTGAATAATTTGACAAGCGTCGTCAACAACCTCCGTGACGAGAACCAACGACTTCGCCAGGCGCAGGAAAAGCGTTCAGAGGAGCCGGACGACGATGCACGAAGCGAGGCGGGTGAGCAGCAACCGACGCCAGTGGAGCTGGCACGACTAGCGGAAACAGCCCCGCGCTCGACAAGTGGCGGTGTGAGATATCAGCAACCCGCTCCTTTCGACCCAGCTAATAAAGGCGTGACGGTGCGGCAGTGGATATTCGCCATGAATATCTACTTTAACGTGGCGGGCATCCGAGACGATCAGAAGCGGATCAGCCATGCGTTGACACTGCTGCAAGGGGCCGGCCTACAGTGGTGGAAGGTCATCGTCGACTCCGCGGCAACTCGCACAGAAGGACAGCATGAGTGGTCCGAAGAATTCGGCGACGAAGACGAGGCAGACTTACTGTTTGGTGCAACTCACATTCGCACGTGGGCAACGTGGTGCGCAGAGCTTCGCAAGCAGTTTGAGCATGCCCCTGACTCAGACAAAGCGCGCGAGACTCTACGCATGTGGAAGCAGCTGGGATCTGTGTCTGACTACGCTGCGTCATTCTTGACGTTGGTGGATCGATGTGGCTACATGCACGAGTTGGAGAAGGTCGACAAGAACATGGGCGGGCTGAAGCCTGAAATACTGTACCAAATAAAATTACAACGATCTGCGAAGCAGTAACAAGACTTCATCCAACTCGCCGAAGCCGCTGATTCGCTCACGAAGCCGAGGACGAACTTCTACGACGGAGGTCGCCCTCGAGAACAGTACCAGCGCACCACGATAAAAGGGATGGACGCAGTGGGTATTTACGCAATTGCTCCGCGAAATACGGGGCTATGCTACCACTGTGGCCGACCGGGTCACATCAAACGGAACTGCCAAGAGTTCATAGCCATCCAAGATTCTATGGGGAAGAAGCTGGAGGAGCGACCGGGAAATGGGTCGCGTCACTAAGTACTGGGCCCCATACTGACGGGCAGGCTTCTTCGCCCGAGCCACACAGTCCCCACCGGGTCGTGATCCCGATTGCTGCAATCGACCGGACCCGGACGAATAAGGGGGACAAAACTGCTGATCACCCTGTGCTGGTAGAGGGCAAAGTCAACGGGGTGTTGCTAAAAATATTCGTGGATGGAGGCGCTAGTCACAGTCTCATACAGCTGGACAGGGCTAAAAAAATTGGTATCCCCTAAAAAAAATGTCTACCCGAGATTGACGCACGACTGGTGGATGGAACACTGCTAGCCATACGAGAACGGGTCGAGCACGTCAGTTTCCATTTTGGCGAGCACGTAAAATTTCGGATGGGGCTGCTGGCGACTACACTCGACGGGTGCGACGTGCTGCTGGGACGAGACTGGCTGCAACAGTACAATCCGAGGATCGACTGGACGACGGGCAGTTGCAGCGTAAAGCTCGATGGGATCTATCGCGAGTTACCGAAATGGACGGGACCCCGCATGCGAAGCACTCAAGTCCACGCGGTCACTTTCAAGCGCGCGATAAAAGCGGGAGCTACAGCGTACGCCATTGATCTTCGCGAGGTGACGTCGCCGACCACTGCCGAAGATATAGCGAAGCTATGCGAAGCCGTTCCTCCAGATTTAGCGGACCTCATTCGAAAATACCCCGAGATTTTCCCGGACGACCTACCCGCAGGACTTCCGCCAAGCCGACCTGAAGACCACCGCATCAAGCTGGAACCAGGCGCACAACCGACAGTACAGCGACAATTTCGGCTCAGCCAACCGGAACTCGAAGAATTGCAGCAACAGCTGGATTACCTTCTGACGAAGGGTTTTATCCGGCCCAGCACGTCCCCGTACGCCGCCCCGACACTGTTCACACCAAAAAAAGATGGAGGATTCCGCATGTGCATCGACTACCGCGCACTCAACCGCATCACCATCAAGTCCCGTTACCCGATCCCGCGAGCCAACGATCTACTCGACCAACTTCGCGGAGCCAAGTTCTTCTCGAAAATCGATCTGCGAGGAGGTTACCATCAAATTCGCGTCATCGCCGAAGATTCCCACAAAACCGCATTCCGAACCCGCTACAGCGGTTACGAATACCTGGTGATGCCATTCGGCCTCACGAACGCACCATCGACTTTTCAGATGACCATGAACGGCGTTTTCCGGGAACTCCTGGATAAATGCGTGATTATCTATCTCGACGACATCGTAATCTACAGCCGCAGCAGGGAGCAGCACTTAAAGGATCTTGATGCAGTCTTCACGCTGCTGCACAAGAATCGCCTCATCACGAAAGGATCCAAGTGCGACTTTCTTAAGCAAGAGCTGGAGTTTTTAGGCCACGTCCTATCTACCGAATGAGTGAAAATCGACCCCAAAAAAAATCAAGACCATCCAGAAGTGGAAGCCGCCGACCAACATCAAGGAGCTGCAGAGTTTTCTGGGCTTCGTCAACTACGTCCGCCATTTTATCCCAAATATGGCTGGGTTATCTGCCCCGCTAACCGACCGACTAAAAGATCACGATTGTTTTTGGTGGGGAGAGAAGCAGCAAGCTGCATTCGACCAACTCAAAATCGCCCTCATTTCGCCGCCCGTCCTTCGCATCTCCGATCCTAACCGTCCATACGAAGTCGTCAACGACGCAAGCGACATCGCCATCGGTGCAGTTCTCCTACAGGATTTCGGCGACGGGCTACAGCCAATCGCTTACGAATCACGGAAGCTGCAGGGCGCGGAAAAAAACTATACTGTCCACGACAAGGAAATGCTGGCGATAGTCCACGCGTTCAAAACCTAGCGGTGCTACCTGACAGGCGCTGACGTCATGGTGCGGACTGACCACAAATCCTTACAGTACTTGCGCGCCCAACCAAACCTCAACCCCCGACAAATCCGATGGCTCGAATTCCTCGAGTCAAATTTCCATTACACCATCACCTACAAACGGGGTGCCAATAATATTGCCGATGCCCTGACTCGCCCTACTGCCCATACCGCCGCCATACTAGTCGCCCAGACCAACCCATTACTTACCGGATTATTCACCTACTGCTACAAGATCCATCCCTTCTTCCGCTCTGCTATCCATCAACAGCATACCACCGCCACCGGACCTTATTTTCATAAGCGCGGTACTTCTCGCATCTGGGTACCCGGCTACGATTTACTTCGTACCCTTCTAATCCGGGAATCCCACGACAACCCTACCTAAGGACATTTCGGCGTCGATAAAACCACGAAGATGCTGCAGCGGAATTATTACTGGCCGAACATGACCGATGACGTGTGCAAGTACGTGTCCTCCTGCACTGCCTGCCAGATTATGAAATCGTCGCATCAGCGAGCAGCCGGATTACTACAGCCGTTGGATCCGCTCAAGCGACCCTGGCAACACGTCACGATGGACTACGTGACAGGACTGTCGGCCGGACCCTGCGGAAATGACGCCATCCTCGTGGTCGTTGACCGACTCACGAAAATGGCGCACTTCATCGCCTGCCAACAGACAATCACAGCCGAACAGACTGTGCAGCTGTTCCTCACGAACGTCATCCGACTGCACGGACTGCCATCTGCCATCATTTCAGACCGAGACCCGAAATTCACGTCGAATTTCTGGCGCCACCTGTGGGACCAGTTCGGCACCAAACTACAGTTTTCCTCCGCCTACCACCCACCAACCGACAGGCAGACCGAACGAGTGAACCAAACTATGGAACAACTCATTCTGACTACCTGTACTGACCCACGGACATGGGAGAAATCCCTTCCGCTGCTAGAATTCGCGTATAATAACGCGACCTCCGCCACAACCCATCAGTCCCCATTTTTCCTCAACTACGGACATGACCCAGTGGTAACCTCGACCCCGAACATCGAGTCACCTGTGCCCCGGTCCCAGAAATTTGCTGAAGACATCCTCGCCGCTCGAGAAAAAGCAGCTGGCGCAATTCGGAAAGCCAACCTGGTCGCAAGCCGACAAGCCGATCGTCATCGTCGTGACGTCACTTACAACGTGGGCGATCTCGTCCTCCTCGATACTCGCAATTTGCGGTTGCCGATACCGAGCAAGCTCCGGCCCAGATTCTGCGGACCTTTTCAAGTGACGAATTTGGTGACACCTCTCACTGTTCATCTTCGACTCCTGGCTGATTGGCGCCACCACCCGACCTTCCACGTCAGCCTCTTACGGCCTTACGTCCCCAGTTCATCTGACGTGGCACGCCAACGCGGAGTAGCGCAGCTGACGCCCCTGCAAGAACCGACAACCGAGCCCTTAAAGATTCTGGGCCATCGCGTCACAACGCAGCTGAACCGCCGGATGATTGATTTCCTCGTCCGCTGGCGCGATCACACGTCCAAAGACGACAGCTGGGTGCCTCTCGCTGATCGAGAATCACATCCGATTCTAACGGTGTATTATCAGCGTCGAAATGTCTCCGATGCCCACGGACTCGTTTAGGAGGGGGGGGGTAGTGTAAGGAATTTCCATTCCTTACTGAGTCGCCCGCTACCGCGTCCACCCGAACACTTCGACTCGTCACGTTCGGCCTACATTTTCGACCCAACCCTTTCTCGAGTCGCGTCCGACAGTGTCGCCACATTGCCGAACCTACCCACGTCCCGAGGTTATCGCCCTATTATGTCTACTCCTATATAACCTCGTGCTTTCATTGCAATAGCGACCTTGTATTCTCACGTTATAGTTCATTGACATCTTCTAAATCATAACACAAAGGAGCTGGTAACGCGTAAATGAAACCTCGTCATCCGTCTCTCGCCACTGATCCTGCCCTCCGCATGCTCTCTCAAATCTTCACTGGCGGTCGTCGCCCACGTCGCACGTCTCTCATTCTCTTGGGATCTCGCTTGCACGCCTGGCTACAGTAAACTCCCTTCTCCTTTCCCACACCCAGTCTCCACTTCCCCTGGGCCCTTCCCCCACTCCTGTTTCCCCTCGACTCTCCCCTTCCCAACCAGCATCCCCCGATCCCGCACCTCTTCCCCTCCCCGCCCTCTCTCGTTTCCTCCGCGCCTCTCTTTTCCCCCGCGCCTCTCGTTTCCCCCGCGCCTCTCGTTTCCCCCGCGCCTCTCGTTTCCCCCCCCTTCTCGTATCCTCCGCGCCCAACCTATCCAACAAACACTGAGGCCATCCTCGACAATCTCGTGGTGGAACCATTGCGGAGCAGAGCTGTCCCAACGGTTCTGCATTTATTATCACCTTATCGCCTAACTGCCTGCTGGATCTGAGCTTCTTCTCTCCTCACTCTCTCTCCCGCGCGCGAGCTAGATATTTGTAGTCTTTCTTCTCTCGTCAAGTATCGTCGCTTGACTGCTCCACTTAAGCGGTAAGGTCGCCGCATTTGCCGCTTCTTAACCACTAACCCGTAACAACTAGCCACTTGTAGCATCCTTCTGATCCCTGCACTTGACCACTTCGTGTAAATAACCAGTCGCATTTCGTGTGTTGCGGCGCTTACTCGCAGCAACCTGCCCATCTATCTCGCGTCTCCAAATTTAACGGGCTGGCGGGGGGAACAAGCTGAGAGCGAGAGCGCAAGGGAGAGCACGCGACGGGGACTAATTCTCTAAGGTTAACTTGAAGCGCACAAGGAAGCATGGTGACGCACGCGCAGCTGGACGGGCATATCGCACAGCTGCAGGAGTGCAAGCCGCTGTCGGAAGCCGAGGTCAGTCCTGCGCGGGGATAAGTCTAGCGAAGCTGCGAGACCGCTAGAAATTTTTATCTCTCTCTTAAGGTTCCTTATATTCTTTCGTCATCGCTAGGAATTAAACGGATATTCGCTGCAATAGTACTCTCTTTGGCGAATCTTAGGGGCGTTCCAGGGCGGCGGAGCTAGGAAATGCCATTGTTCGGTGTAAACAATACGGCTAGGACTACGGCTTGGAGGCCTAGAAAAATGCGGCGTTCGGACTAACCCAGATGCGTCTGAAGTCAACGGCGAACGCGCTCACCGGCTTTCAGTTCAGCGGATTGGCAACGCCGGGTTGGGTGGATGGCATCGACAGAGGTCTGCTCCGTGTGTTAATAGCAGCGGATGATTGGAGTAGTTGTTGATCAGTTTGACGTATGCGCGAAGCTCAATGGCAGAGAGTAAACGAATATAGGACGACAAGGGAGGGGCCGCGGGTTCCTCTGGGAGTATTGTAGGGGCTGTCTCCGACGATTTACAGCAATGGCTGCTCGAGCCTTGTCTCAGCGCATGGCTTCTTCGTCCGGAGCTTGCGGGCTCTCGCGTTTTCGCCAAGCTGTTGGACTTTTGGCCGTTCCATTTGTCCCTGCGACGTTTCGTTTGGATTTCCCATAAGTTGCTTCGTCCCTTCCCAAATGCGTCTCTTGGGAATGGCATCGAATGGCGTTTAATGGCTTTGAATGGCGTTGAATGGTATCGAATGTTATGACTTCCCTTGACTCTGCGATGACATGGTGATGTCACTGCGCTTGTGATGGCGGCATGGCTGTGATGGCGGCATGGCGTGGTGGCTGGTGCGCGTGCAGGTGAAGGCGCTCTGTGAGAAGGCGCGGGAGATCCTAGTGGAGGAGAGCAATGTGCAGGTCAGCCGCGCAACCGTTTTTCGTTCCTCCCATGCCTCGGTGTCCCGTATCCGTCCCCTCTCGGCTCCAGCCTCTGGCTGCAGCATGTCCTGTTGGTATCCATAGCTGTCGTCGTCCGTCTCTCCCATGCCCCGCTCTCACTGACCGCTCACTCCCACCGCCTTGGTCCGCCGCTACTCGCTCCGTGCCGCCAGCAGCCAGCACTGCACCTAAGATAGCTATTTTTGCTAATATACTTCTACAAATGCCATCATTGCCGCCACCACAGTAATGGCAGCTCGCCTGCCGGGATCCTCCTCCCGCACTCTCCTCTTTTCACTCTCCGCCTTTCCCCTTCTAATCCTGCGCGTTCCGTTTCTTGTAACATCCCATAACTCGCCAACCCTCGCGATGTTGGCAGTCCTCCCGCCATCAGCCTTCCCCGCGTCCCGCATAATCGCATTCCACCAGAACCGCCAGGGACCTTCGCAATTCTGCCCTGTCAATGTCGCTTAAAGCGCGGAGTAAAAAAGAGTCCCCTCCGCTTTTTCTCCTCCCCGCCCATCCCGCCCATCCCGCTCCCTCTCCCCGTCTCCCCCCCCCCCCCCCCCGCCCCTCCTCCCCCCCTTTTGCCGCCAGCCCGTGCGCTGCCCCGTGACCATCTGCGGGGACATCCACGGGCAGTTCCACGACCTCGCGGAGCTCTTCCGCATAGGCGGAAAGGTACGCGCTGGGGGCGCAGTCGGGGGCCGCACGGGAGACGAGGTAGCGTCGCGGTCACAGGGGAGAGGGAGCTCTTTGTGGGGGGGAGGGGAGGGGAGGGGAGGGGAGGGGTGGGAGGGCAGTGAAGGGTGTACTAGGAGGGTTTCAAGCATGCCAGAGAAGGATGCCCACGCTCACTTCTCCCCTCTCCTCCCCTCCCCCCCCTTCCCCTCCCCTTCCCCCCCCTTCCCTCGCGCCCCCTTGCGTTTCCTTGTGTGAAATGTTGGTCGTTTCAGTAGGCTATTTGGTTTTCTGCGTAAGCGTGTGTACTGGTTATTGAAACTCCTCTCCTTCCCTTCCCCCTCTCGCCCCCCGCTCCTCCCCCCGCCGCTCCCCCCGCCGCTCCCCCCGTCCCTTTCCCGTCCCCCCCAGTCTCCCGACACCAACTACCTGTTCATGGGGGACTACGTGGACCGAGGCTACTACTCCGTTGAAACCGTGTCGGTGCGTGGCTGGACACATAGCTCACAGGGGTGGCTGCATGGGCGTGCGGATGGGTGGAATGGTGGAGGGAGGGAGTTACAGGAGGATGGGGGGAGGGGGGGGGGGGGGGATTCCGAAAGGAATGAGTGTCGGGGAAAGTGGAGGGGAGTTGAGGAAGGCGTATGGTGTGTTGTTCTTGCCTCCAGTACTTTCTTTTCATAAGCACCGTCTATCTCCCGTCTTCCATCATCTTTCTCTTCCTGTCTCCCCCCCTCACCTCTCTCCCTCTCTCGCTCTTTTCCCGCTCCCTCCCTCCCTCTCTCTCCTCTCGCTCGTCCTCCCACCGTTCCTCCCATCCCGCTATCACGTCTGCTAATTCATTCTGTCTCGCCTCCTCTGCCCCCTCCCCCGTGCCCCATCTCCCCAAATCGTTCCAATGTTTTCCCCTCCCCCCCCTCTCCCCCCTCCCCCCCCCCCCCCTGCCCCCCGCCTCTCTCCACCCCCCCCAACCCAGCTGCTGGTGTCGCTCAAGGTGCGCCACCCCGACCGCATCACCATCCTGCGCGGCAACCACGAGAGCAGACAGGTGCGCCAAGGGGGGAGGGGCTGGGGGGCGGGGAAGACGTGTGGGGTCAGAAAGCGGGGGGTGGGTGGAGAGGGGTGGCGGCAGGGGGGGGGGGGGGGGAAGGGAGCAAAAACGGGGGTGGGGGACATGGTCGCAGTAGGACATGGAGTGGTTGCATGCCAGCTTGAAGGATAGAAAAGTAGGTGCCTTCTCACCCAAAACCGTCAATTCCTGTGTTTCTCTGATGCCCTACCCCCCTTCCCAACCCCGCCCCTCCCCCTTTCCCCCTTCTCCGCCACCTGTTATGCTTCACTTCCCATTTCCTCCCCTCACTTGCCATTCCCCATTCCCCATTCCATTGCCCTCCCCAACCCACACCTTCCCTCACTCCGTCCCTTCTCCCCCTCCCACTCCCTCCCTCCCTCTTTCTCCCCCATTCCCTCCCTCTCGCCCGCCCTCTCTGCTGCAGATCACTCAAGTTTATGGTTTCTACGACGAATGCCTACGCAAGTGAGATCACCTGGCATGCCATGGCATGGTGTCACGTTTTTTCTGAGTGTGCTGAAGGGAGATCTTTCCTCGTTCTGGTTCCTGCTGAGAATGCATTCTGCATTCTGGCTTCTCTCTCTCTCCCCCTCCCTCCCCCCCGCCCGCCCTCCCTGTCCGGCCGTCCTCCTCAAGCAGCAGGAATGACTCATCCTCGTTTCTCGACTTTTCTTCACATCCATCCCCCACCCCCTGAGTCTGATCAGGTATGGCAGCGCCAATGTGTGGAAGATGTTCACAGACCTCTTCGATTACTTCCCGCTCACAGCTCTGGTAGGGTGTACTCCCTTCTTCCCCTTGAATCGCTCTTGTCTCAATCTCTGCCCGCCTTTTTCTCCCCGTTGGCTTGTTGATCTTGTCTGCATTGTTTTAACACTTCTGTACACCTGACAGTTGCCCCTGCTTCCCATCTCTCACAACCCTTCCAACACCCCTTTCCTCTTTCCCAATACGGTATCCCTCTTGCCCCACCCCACCCCCATCCTAACCCCCAATCCCCCCCCAATCCACCTGCCCAACCAGGTGGAGTCGCAGATCTTTTGCCTGCACGGCGGGCTGTCGCCGTCCATAGACTCGCTGGACCACGTGCGCCAGCTGGACCGCATCCAGGAGGTGCCGCACGAGGGGCCCATGTGCGACCTGCTCTGGTCCGATCCCGACGACCGCTGCGGCTGGGGCATCTCCCCCCGTGGTGCTGGCTACACTTTTGGCCAGGTGTGTGTGCACGCTGTGGACTGGTGTAGAGGATGATGGGTATTTGGGTGGGAGGGACACGGCATTGAACGGGATGTATGCTGCCATTGATGTGTTGATCATTGCCAAAATGCACCTTCACCATCTTTATGATATCTTTGAATTTGCCTCCTACATGTTCTCTTATTTGGTCTACATATCATCCACAATATCTTCCTTCCGTTGTGCCACACAACAGGATATCAGTGAACAGTTTAATCAAAACAATGGGCTCAACCTTGTGGCACGTGCTCACCAGCTGGTGATGGAAGGATACAACTGGGCACATGTAAGCTTAGGTTGATCGAGCATGTTTAAACTATGTTTCCTTCCTCCCCAGTCACCTCATTTGTATAATTGTTTTCTTCCTGATTGAACTTGCTTGTGCACTCCAGGAGCAAAAGGTGGTGACAATCTTCAGTGCACCTAACTACTGCTACCGCTGCGGTAAGCATGCAGAGCGCATCACCTAAATTTATGCATGATTCCATTCATTCCTGTTGCTGTTCGTTCTTTCCTTTTTAATGAAGATCACTGCCACAAGCAAGCTTCCATCTGGTAGCACTGTCCATCTGCGAGGTTCCTGACTTCATTGTGTGCTTTTTCTACAGGCAACACAGCTGCTATCTTGGAAGTTGATGAAAGCATGAGTCAAACTTTTATTCAGGTGCGCAATCTATCTTCGACATGTCTCGTGTGTCAAAGGCAGTGCCTCGCGGATGTCCTTGTATCTTTTCCATGGTTGATCTGCTCTGTGTGTCACCAACTTCCACGCGTTCCCCTTCTGCTGTCCCGTTCTGTACCAGTTTGAACCCGCTCCAAGACGAGGCGAGCCCGATGTCACTCGCAGGGCACCTGACTACTTCCTCTGACAGCTGTCCACCTATGTTCCTGCCGTAATTGCTTAGCAAATTGTTGTGAAGGTTTAAGAGATGGTGTACCGCTGCTTCAAACTGTATGGTGTCACACGTCACATGTTAGGGTTCTCTAAAGTGCAGAACGTGTCTTCCCTTCTGGCTAGTGGTACCGATAGGGTTTGTGCACGTTGTGGATGGTTCATTGGACTGCCTCACCCCACGCTGGTCTGGTGGTAGTAGGTTAGGGTTCACCATAGTTTTCCTTAGAACGCCACAAGGTAGTTCTGTAATCACCCGGATATAGGCACGGCCATTTATTAAGCCCAGTGGACTTATAGAGTGGAAACGCGCTTATATCCGTTATCTCATTATAAACGCACCTTTTTTTAAGAAAGTCTATTCCTATAAGCGCATTGAATTACTCTTAAAGCCCAGGTCCCAAGTTACAAGGCGCGAGCATTTTTGTTAACAATTTCTGTCGGGGTCTGAGTGGTTACCCTGTACAAATTTAGAACAGTGAACAAGTGGGGGGAGGATGGGGAAGGGAAGCTTGTGATTGGACGCTGGGGGAAAACGGGTTTCGCCAACCCCAGCACAGAGTCCAACCAAGGGAGGAAAGTGTCAAACATGTTTAGTTATCATGCTTGTATAGACTGTATAGGGTCATCTTCTAGAGAGTACAACAGTTAGGTATATGTTTGTGTACTCTCTCTCTCTATTCATCAATTTCACTGTTTGATATGGTATCACGCGCTACACCACCGTCTTCCCCCTGGAGCGGAAGGCCGACGTGCCTGACGTTCTCATCCCCTGGCTTGTCTCTGCTCGTGTCCACCGCGGTCTCCCTGCCTTGCGCCTTCACTCCGACCGGGGTGGCGAGTTTGCCTCAGGTGTCCTTGGTCGCTTTGTTGAGTGACCCGCTGGGGTTGACCTTGAGATCCTCGGGGAAGGGCCACAGGTGCAGAGCCTGGGGGGCTATGGGCGCACTTACCCGCTATTCAATAAGCCCTTTTAACCCAGTGGTTAGTGGCTGGGTTTCTGACATGGTATCAGAGCCAAAGGTCTTGGGTTCAACTCCCAGTGCCAGCGCTGCAGAGGCGCTTGTGTCTTCCACCTATCCCAGCGGGGGGGGGGGTGTTGAGTGACCCGCTGGGGTTGACCTTGAGATCCTCGGGGAAGGGCCACAGGTGCAGAGCCTGGGGGGCTATGGGCGCACTTACCCGCTATTCAATAAGCCCTTTTAACCCAGTGGTTAGTGGCTGGGTTTCTGACACGCTTCTGTCGTGCGGAGGGCATCACCCAGACGTTTACCCTGCCGGACTCCCCGCAGCAGAATGGGGTCGCTGAGCGACGCATCGGTTTGGTCATGGAGGTGGCTCGCACCTCCATGATCCACGCCGGTGCACCCCATTTTCTGTGGCCGTTCGCCGTGCGCTACGCCGTTCACCAGCTTAACCTGTGGCCGCACCCCCAGCGGCCGCAGGTTTCGCCGACCCTTCTGTGGACCGGGTCCCCTGGTGACGCGTCTGCGTTCCGCGTCTGGGGCTGCCTTGCTCACGTTCGTGCCTCTGGCACGGACAAGCTCACTGCCCGCACCCTCCCCTGCGTCTTCCTCGGTTTCCCCCTTGACGCGTCCGACTGGCACTTCTACCACCCGCCGTCTCACCGCTTCTTTCACTCTCGCGACGTCACCTTTGACGAGTCCGTCTCCTTCTACCGCCGCTTTCCCCACCGTGGTCCCCCGGTTACTCCCCCCCTTTTCCTGGTTCCTCCCTCCCTGGTGGTCCCTGCCCCTCCCCCCCCCCCGCCCCCCGTCCGGCCCCCTCTGGTGTGTCTCACGTCACCCCCCTCCCGTCGGTCGTCCCGGTCGACGAGTCTTCTGACTCTGGTAGTCCTCCGGCGCAGTCCTCGCCGTCTGTCCCTCCCCCGGTGTCTCCTCCTCCACCGCCTCCGCAGCCGCCGTCGCCGCAGCTGCTGCAGCCGTCGTCTCCACCGCCGCCGCCGTTGCAGCCGTCGTCTCCGCCGCCGCCGCCGTCGCAGCCGTCGCTGCAGCCGCCGCCGCCGCCGCCGCTGTCGTCGCTGCCGCCGTTTGTGGACTCTGGGGGTGTCCCTTCTGGGGGTGCAGGTGTGGAGGGTTCGGGAGGTAGCCGTCGCGCAGCTTGTGGCCCTGGTGTTGGTGTTGTGTCGCCGCAGCAGCAGTCCCCGCCTGTGTCCGCCCTCCGTCTGCTCGGCCTTCCGTCTCCTGACCCTGCGCCTGTTCCTCTCCTGCCGTCTCCCCCTCTTCCCGTCTACGGCCCCGTGTTCCCTCTGCCAGACTCGTCCCCGGCTCGTCTTCCCCCTCGTTCCCCTCCTGTGTCCCCTCCTCTGTCTCCTGACCCGACGCCGCCCTCACACGTCTGGTCTCGCCGCCCCTCTCGTGCTCGTCCTGTCTCCCCTGTCCCGCGCTCTCACCCTATGTTGCTCCGTTCCCACGCATCTCGACCTCCCCTCCTCCCGTCTCCTCCTCCGTCTTCTCTTGTCGTTGCGTCTCCTCCTCTGTCCGACTCCTTTCGTGCCGCTCGTCCTCTTGTTCCTCGGGTCCTTGCCTCTCTCGTTACCGACCCGTCTGTTCCCGTGTCGAGTCTTGACGCCCTCGTCGCTGCGGTCGCTGACTTCGCCTCTACCCGCCGCCTTGACTACGCCACCGCTCTGGTCTCTCACCCTGCCTGTCCTCCGTCTGTCGGGGGTGCTCCTGCCCTCGGCAGTGACGTCCTGGAGGACCGCCAGTTTGAGCTTGCTTTCCTGTCCGAGGCTGCTCCCCATCTCTGTTCCATGCTGCTAGTCCCTGAGGGTGACCCAGACGCTTTCGACATCCCGACCCCTCGTACTTACGCTGAGGCGGTTTCGGGACCCTGGGCCTCTCAGTGGATAGCTGCCATGGAGCAGGAGATGGCATCTTGGAGATCCACCGGCACCTTCGTCGACGCAGTTCCCCCACCTGGGGTGAACGTGGTCGATGGCCGTTGGCTCTTCAAGGTGAAGCGCCCTCCTGGAGAGCCGCCTGTGTTCAAGGCGCGCTACGTGGCTAGAGGCTTCAGTCAGCGCGAGGGGGTGGACTTCTTTCAGACTTTCGCTCCTACCCCGAAGATGACTACTCTTCGGGTGCTGCTACACGTAGCGGCTCAGCGTGACTACGAGCTTCACTCCCTCGACTTCTCCACTGCCTTTCTTCAGGGCAGCCTTCACGAGCAGGTCTACCTGCGTCGCCCTCAGGGCTTTACTGGCACCTTCCCCCCTGGGACCCAGTGGCTTCTGCGGCGGCCAGTCTACGGCCTGCGCCAGGCGCCTCGTGAGTGGCACGACACTTTGCGTGCTACCCTTGCTGACCTGCAGTTCTTTCCGTCCTCTGCAGACCCCTCGCTCTTCGTTCGTGCTGGCTCGACTCCGTTCTACATCCTCGTCTACGTAGACGACCTGGTCTTTGCCACTGCTGACAGGGACGCACTGGCCTCCGTGAAGGCAGAGCTGCTGAAGAGACACACCTGCACTGACCTTGGAGAGCTGCGCCGTTACCTTGGCTTGCAGATCTCCAGGGACAGAGCCGCGCGCACCATCACCCTGACTCAGTCACACTTGGTGCGCCAGGTCCTTCAGAGGTTCGGCCTTCAGTTCTCCTCCGCACAGCCCACCCCTCTTCCTCTGGACCACAGACTCTCCGCTCCAGTTCCTGAGGAGTCGGTAGATCCCAGTGGTCCTTACGCTGAGCTAGTGGGTTGCCTCATGTACCTGATGACTTGCACTCGCCCAGATCTCGCATACCCTCTCAGCATCCTGGCTCGTTTCGTGGCCACAGGCAGGCACCGACCTCAGCACTGGTCTGCCGCTAAGAGGGTTTTGCGTTATCTTGCAAGTACATCGGGCATGGGGTTAGTGCTAGGCGGACGCAGGCCAGTGGTCCTTACTGGACACACAGACGCTTCTTGGGCAGACGACGCCGAGACGCTCAGGTCTTCCCAGGGCTACTGCTTTAGCCTTGGTTCAGGTGCTGTCTCGTGGAGAGCTACCCGCTCTTCGTCTGTTGCCCAGTCCAGCTGTGAGGCCGAGATCTACGCCGGTGCCATGGCGGCACAGGAGCTCCGCTGGCTGACCTTCTTGCTCACTGACTTAGGTGAGCGGCCTAGCTCTGCCCCGGTCCTGTACGCTGACAACAGGGCCATGATCCTCCTGTGTCAAGAGCCTCGACTCGAGGGCAGAGCGAAGCACATCCAGCTGCGGTACTTCCTCCTGCGAGAGCTACAGCAGCGTCGCCAGGCTCGCGTAGTACATTTAGCCTCCGGTGCCAACACAGCTGATATCTTTACGAAGGCGCTTGCGCCTAAAGATCATCAGCGGCACTGTGTACAGCTTGGTCTGGTTCCTGTAGTCTCTCACTTACTCGGGCCTTGACTCTGTACTGTCCTATATATCTGTGTGTACACTCAGACTGGACTTGTGTCCTCTTACAGTGGTTGGACTAGTAGTGCCGCCCTGTACTAGTTCTTGCCTTGCCTGTACTCCTTCTGACTGGTCTTTTAGACCCTTGTCTCAGAGGCTGGACTAGTAGTGCCACCCTGAGCTGCTTGTCTAGAACATTCCCCTATGCAGTCCAGGGGGTGTGTCAAACATGTTTAGTTATCATGCTTGTATAGACTGTATAGGGTCATCTTCTAGAGAGTACAACAGTTAGGTATATGTTTGTGTACTCTCTCTCTCTATTCATCAATTTCACTGTTTGATAGAAAGGGCCAAGGGGAAGAACCGAAACTTGCAATTTGGGACTACCAGAAACCATTTTGTTTACAAAACGGAGACATGCGTAGCATTTCCCGGCCTCCTCGCTAGCAGAGTCCCGAACTTCACCATGCTCGCGCCAAGAGCGTAATCATTACCGCCACGCATCGTGTAGCACCCCGCTCCCCACAGCCCGCTACCCTAATTGTAGGGTGTTAGGTCTAGGAAATTTGAGAAAAACCGTACCACGCTTGGCGCCCACGCGTGAATTCCCGCTTCCGCATCTAGCTGCGCCGAGCTGCCTGCAGCCGCCCATTACCCGCTCCCCCCCGCCGTCGGCGCTAGTTGGCTGCAAATGGGAACACAGTTTCCGCTTTCCCCCGCTTCGAGCCCGTGCGAGCCGCCGCCCCCGCATAGCTCTTCTCAACCCCACGGCCACGCCGTCTCACGCTGCGTCCCACAGCTAGTACCCGAGCAGGGAGGAAGAGAGGCGGTACAGCAGGGAGGGAGAGTGGCGACCCAGGCAAGGAGGGAGAGATGCGATCGAGCAGGGAGGGAAAGAGGCAAAACAGAAGGGAGAAATGAGGGAATGACGTGAACTGCGGAAATGAGGGGGAGAGGAGAGAGAGGTGGGGGGTGTGATGGAATGAGGTGAACTGCGGAAAGGAGGGAGGGAGGAGAGAGAGGGGGGAAGAATGAGGTGAACAGCGGAGGTGAGGGGGAGACATGAGAGTTGAGAGGCGCCATAAGACGGACCGGTCTGCGGCTCGGGCGGCAGGGAAGGAGAGCGGAGTGAGAGCAAGGGAGGGGGAGATGAGTGAGTGCAGGGGAGGGGGAGATGAGTGAGTGCAAGGGAGGGGGAGATGAGTGAGAGCAGGGGAGGGGGAGAGGAGTGAGAGCAGGGGAGGGGGAGAGGAGTGAGAGCAGGGGAGGGGGAGCAGTATATGTGTATATCTCTTTGTCTCTGCTGCCCACTCCATCGCACTAACTCCATCCCTCTCTCTGTTGCTCCCAATCTCTTTCTCTCCCTCCCACTCTCAACCTTCCCCCCCCCCCCTCCCCTCTCTCTCTCTCTCTCTCGCTCTCTCTCTCTCTCTCTCGCTCTCCATCTCTCTCTCTTTCTCTCTCTCTCTCTGCCTCTCTCTCTCTCTCTCTCTCTCTCTCTCTCTCTCTCTCTCTCTCTCTCTCTCTCTCTCTATCTCTCTCTCTCTCTCCCTATATCTCTTTGTCTCTGCTGACCACTCCATCTCACTGTCTCCCTCACTCTCTCTGTTTCTCCCTATCGCTTTCTCTCCCTCCCTCTCTCAACCTTTCCCCCCCCCTCTCTCTCTATCTCTCTCTCACTCTCCGTCTCTCTTTCTCTCTCTCTCTCTCTCTCTCTCTCTCTCTCTCTCTCTCTCTCTCTCTCTCTCTCTCTCTCTCTCTCTCCATCTCTCTCTCTCTCTCTCTCTTTCGGTCTCTCTCTCATCCCCTCCCCCGTCGCTCTGTCTCGCTCGTACCTTTTGCGCGCGTCCGCCGTTGCTTGTCTGGTCGCAGCCTCTCGCCTCTAGGCGGCACGGTGGTATCGTGGGTTTCGGCGACAGGCCGTCTACGACTGTGGGTTATGTGGCTCGGGGTCTGCTACTGCGCGGTTCCGTCGAACTCGGGTTCGTTCGAGGGTACGTCAGCGGTGGCTGTTCTTGCTGCTTAGTGACTAGGGGTACTGAGCTGATTTGGGACGTGACTGGCTTATGTTGCTTATTCCGTCGCCTAAACTCCCAACCAGCTTGAACATTCCCGCCACGCTGTTTCAACGGGGCTTGGTGCTGCCCTGCGGTTTCTTCAGGTGGTCGCAATTACGCCTCACGGAAGTCTGCGTTGTAACGCGCATCTGCCCGGCCGTGTGGTCGGTCCACATTGATGCGCGGTTGCTATTTTTTTTTCTTCAGTTTTCAGATGCGTAGTCAGCGCTGGACGCGATGCGCCATCCATCTGGTGTGGTTTTGCGCGTTTTGGCGTCTTTCATTCGTGCTCGAGCTCTTGTTCCCACATCGTCTGTTGTTGCGCATTTGCCGCCTGACAAGAGATGGTGCCCTTTGTGCCGTGCATACGTTGTTGTTGCCACATGACGCGTTTTTTTTTGTTTCCCGCTTGCTACCGCGCAATCGTCGGCTAGAGGGACTTTTCTGCCTCGTACCAATTTGTGTTTCTCTTTCGGCTCTTGCTTCGCGTTTTTTGGTTCCTGATTGGTTTTCTGCACTGCTGCGTGGGTGGCGGAGCTTTTGTGTCTCACAGTTTTGCGCCTGCCTTGATTGTTCTGCGTTAGCGAATGCTCTGGGGTAGTTGGCGGCATTCGCCTCCAAATTTTCAAAGCCATGTTTTTCGCATCCCTCGCAGCCAATCAAACCCTGGCTCCACTTTTACGAGCCGCGCTCTCCAAAGGGGGACTTCGCGCCTTGTAACTTGGGACCTGGGCTTTAAAAAAACAGGTGAATTGCGAAACTTCCATATCGAAACTCTGTGCCAAACCTCCCACACCACTCTCGCACCCCCCTCCCAAGCACCTCGCCAGCCAGATTCCTGCGTTTCCTGATCACTGTCTTGCCTATAATTGGTCTAAATCCTGCCTTCCCAGCATAGTTGTGCTGGCGAAACTTTCGCCAGATATTCCGCGCGATATTTCTGTGCGTCCCGTTTTGAAGACGATTGTATTGGAACCCAAATCAACCCAGCTACATTTTGGTGTGTTCAATTTATTGTCCCATATAGTCCTCCGTATTAGCGCACGGGCTTATATTTTTATTCGATTACAAGCGCATGCTGCTTTTTGAACCTAGTCCCTATAAGCACATATGCGCCTATATCCGGGTGATTACGGTACTATCTTGAGGCCAACCATTGCCCGAATCCCATCCAAACAGTCTACAATTAAAGTAAACTTCAGCACAAACCCTTCAGTCCTAGGTTAGAATCATCTCTTCTTAGTGTCTTTGAATTTCATGCCTTCGGGCTCATAAGAGTCATACGTTCACGTCAGGTTTGTTAGGGGACATTTTTTGCATCTCTAGCAATACCCTGTGTGAGAAGCATCAGAAATCGCATAATCAGTGTGGTACAACGGACATGCTTACAACTGGACTGAATACAAGTAATAGAGTACAAGAGCGGGATAGTGGGGAATGATGCTGGAAACTGCAACGCTGCAATGGGTCGTTGAGACTTGCGGATCATAAGATACTGGTACGTCGGACAGTCACTGATAGTTGCTAGATTGAATGGACGTGGATGCCGACTGAAAGACGTAGGGCGAGCTTTGCCATGTGTTTACGCCAGCCCACTGACCGTCCATAATAGAAGAAGCGTCCCATATGCTGAGATATGCGAACACGGATTTAGTAGGAAAAGGTTCTTCATCGGAGCTCAATACTTCACGAACGACCACGCCATCGATGAGCCACCTGCATCACCATAAGTTTGTCAGCAAAGATAATGGGTGTTAACTGGAGTTACTCATCAGGTCACATCACTCACTGAAGCTTTTGCGGTCCATAATATATAGTGTAGTTGTGGTAGTCAGCAGATGCATCGAAGCCCAAATCAATAACGAGCTCATGATGGCCAACACTGCGGAAAACTTGCAGGTGTCACCTCACGTCAGGTTTTACGTATTGATTCAGAATCTTGCATATTTACCCAGAAACATAGTAGTTAGTTTGTACTCTCGAGTTGTCGCCAAGGAACTCGAAGTCAATTTCATCTTGATCAGTGCTTCCCTCCCACGTGGAGACATAGAAAGATGAAACTACACCACTGCAAAATTGTGTCAGAAATGCAGGGCACGTGAAGGTGAGACACCGTTTAAGAATAGTTCGACTGACCTGACAGAACCTGGTGGTGTTTTCACCACAGAGGAGAACGATGTCCCAGGATAATACTTGTCATTGGTTCTCGCCCTTCCAGCTGGAAAAAAATGTAGTATTACAATGCTGAAGCCCTGGTCTTTTTGCACGGTATACGATGCGTGGCTCCTTACTTCCTGAAGAGTCCAGAGTGGTGGAAACATAGCTTCCTTGAATGGAAATGTGATCATACTGCCCAGCGTCCTTCGTATAGAGTTCAGCGTCTGACGCTTGGAGGACTCGTCTCAAGTCACGTGAATGAACTCCTGGAACCGACGAGAAACTGCCAACCAGGAATGCGCCGTTAGCCCTTTCAACCAACGAACAGGGAAGTATTGTGCAGATACTAAGCACCAGAATTCCCAACTTACGTGAAGACAAGAGCGACCAAGAGAGGAACACAGTGCGAGAGCTGGAACGACGCCATTCCAAGAGGACCAGCCTGGAAGAAAAAAGGCAGGCCGATCACTCTGAGGAAGGCAGATTTTGAACTTGGCCCAAACGATGCTCTTTATGGTCGAAAAATTCCACAATCGCGCCTCGGTTCTGACGATTCAGTATACTTGAAATAAGTGTACATGCACTGTATATTCTTGGTATATCTTGTCTGTATAGCTAAGCACATAAACTTTTCTAAAACGTTCGAGTACAACCAACCAAAATGCATGTGTTTTTCGCCTAATTCCCGGAAATAAAATCAGATTAACGTATTTCGATATGCTACTCATACGTTTCAACCTTATAATATTAATAGACAAGTGCCCTCTTGATTTCTCTATATATCTTAGGCTAATACACCTACCTTCTAATTGGAGACACCTGACATGGTACAAATGATGTGAAGGAAACAGCATACGTTTCAACCTTATAATATTAATAGACAAGTGCCCTCTTGATTTCTCTATATATCTTAGGCTAATACACCTACCTTCTAATTGGAGACACCTGACATGGTACAAATGATGTGAAGGAAACAGCTTTACATCTCTTTGGGGACACCAACTATACTGTTAACATAATTTTAGATGCCAACAATTAAGCTGAGGTGAGCATGAAGATAGGCCTCCAATAACATGATAAAGATTCAGGAGCTTATATACAGGGTGGACATCACCTGAAGCTTTCCTACAGGACAAGGATGTACAAATGCTACAGGGAGCATTGCTTGGGAACAGCAACCACCAGCACAGCCTTTCGCTGACTGCTGTCTGGTCAACTCCTTATCCATTTGGTTGGCAACGGCACTGGAGTATGGCTGGGCCTGTAACCAGCCCTTAGGGCGGCTACCCTGTACTAACCAGCAACTGGAATTGAGGAGCAGCTTGGAGGACAGGGCGTGGGGATGTATGTACAGGAGTGTGTTGGATGCACGAGTGCATCATCTGGCAGGAGGGAGGAGGGAGGAGGGAGGACCCTAGATAGATGCTGAGGAGGCCTATGAGAGGAATCAGCTACTTGGCATATGGAGTGGAAAGGCTAGAAATGGCACGAGGGAAGGACGTGAGCAGAAGCAGGGCGCGCGCATAAGTAGAACCTGGGCCGCTCCAAGATGCATGCTGCAGGTTGACACCTGGCACACGAGGTCCCCTGGAGACTGCTGCATCCAGATAAACTTACTACAGCAGGAGAGCTATGATGTGACTACCTTCAGATCTTGGAATCTGCGTCCACAAGTCCATCGGCCCTTTTCCGGATCAACGCGATGAATCGGCCTTCAGGATAAGGTGTCTGGCTGAAACAGCGATGCTGCAGCTGGAAACCCTTTCGGCCAAGCAGTTCTGGTCGCACAAGTTGCACGACAAAAGTGACGGCAGCAGCAGCAACGGAATCGCTGGGAGCATCAGGCCGATTGGGAATGGTCACGGGTAATAGGGAAGGCGTTAGGTACCGGAGATGGGCATGGGCGAGGGCAGGAGAGAGGCGACGCCGAGGAGCACGGTGACCTGGAGCGGCTCACGTTGCAGGAGTGAAGATTGGCGCAAAGGAGGAATGGCGCGAAGGCAGGCGGGCGGAGGGGGGAGAACGGCGGAGGGGAAGGGCGTAGGATGCATGGCGGGAGGGAGTCGCAGATTCAGGTTAAGGGAGGTGTGAGGTCGAACGAAAAGCCCAAGGCCAATTTCCGGGACTTCAGCGCAGAGAGAGACGCGGGTAGCGGGTGAAGGCGGCTTAGCAGACAGAGCAGACCAATCTTTGCGCCGCGCTGAGCCACCGCGCTCGTGTTTCGAGAAGCACAAGCTCTTCCCCTGCTGCAGGCGCTCGCCAAGGCGGGTAAACGAGGCGGTTGACGACGGCGGATGCACCACGAGTCGGACGGGGCACGAGGCGACGAGAGGCAGCTGCCGTCCGCCGAGGCCTTCGGAACGAAGGACAGAAGGGACAAGATGACGATGGCGCCGACCCCGGTGAAAAAGAGCCGGGGAAAAAAATACTAAGCAAGTCAAGCACCATGCGCCCGAGCCTGCTTCTGCCGACGATCGTCCGTGAATCCGCGGCCTAAGAACAACGCCGCCCCGGCTTTCAGGAGCTAGGAACAGGTGCGGCTGCAGGATCCAGGGACAGGAAGCCAGGGCGGACTGTTACAGCACAGAAGTGAGGGACTTTGGGCGGGCGCCTTCAGGAAGAAGACATGTAGCCGTCGTCGCACTCCCCAGCGGCGGCTCCCACAGGGGCTTTGGCGGAATAAGGAGACGCGGAACGGCGGGGGGATGCAGCGGCGGCAGTAGCAACGGCGGCGGCGGCGGCGGTAGAAGCGGAGGCTCGTTCGTCGTCGCGTTGAGTGCCGTTGGTCTCGCCCTCCATCTCGATGGCCTCGCTGTTGTGCGACAGCAATCGCATGCGAAGGCGACGCAGCTCCTCCTGTCGCATCTCCAGTCGCTGAGGGACGGAAAAGGGAACGGGAGAGGGGAGACGAGAGAGGTAAGGACGGGAGACGAGCAAACGTTGCGTTGACAAACGATACGGAGAGAGGGGGGGGGAAGAGAGGAAGAAAGAGAAGGACGAGCAGACGAAAATATCAGGAGACGCAGGGAAGGAAAGGGCCAAGGGGGGAAGCGGGCGAGGGAGGCGTTGGGAGGGGGGCGGGGTGGAAGTGCGAAAAGCGAGACCGTGCGTGAAGGTGCATAAAGGGGTGGTACGTCTCGCGTAGAACATACGTCTCGCAGGGAGTGGTTTTCTTCCTCCAGCTGCGCCATCTGCGCCTCCTGCTCGTCGATACGCGCGCGTAAGATTGAATCGCTCCCATCAGCAGCACCGGCGGCAGCAGCAGCGGTGCCATCACAGGCGGCGGTACCGGCGGCGGCGGCGGCGTTGCAGGCGACAGCATCACGGCTGGGCACGTCGGCGTCGCACGCAGGCGCGACGACGAGCATGTCGCAGACGACCTCGAAGAATCGCACGTCGAAGCCGGCGACGGCTACGCGCTCCTCCGTGTGTGCAGCTCGCCCCTGGGGAGCGTCCTCGCTGCAGGAAGCACCTTCGGAGCACTCGGCGCGCAGAACAACGGGCTCGCCGCGGGGGAGAATGCGCGTGCCTTCGCCGTTGCCCTCGCTTCTCTCGTCGGCATCGTACGGCAAGGGCTCGGGAGTCTTGAGGCGAATGCAACCGCTCATGGAGCCGTAGGGGTTGACGCTCAGCAGTGGAGCCATGTCCGCCATATCCGCCATTTCCGCCGCTAAGCCTGACAGATCGTCACTGTTTCCGTTGCCGAGGTCGCAGAGGTCGCCGTTGTCGCAGGGAACGACGCCGGTCGCACATGCTCCTGCTGCCGCTGTAGCGGCTGCCGCGGCGATGGCTGCTGCTCCAGCAGGAGATGCCGCCGAGTCTCCAGCGAATGCAGCGGCGACGGCATCTTGGCGGCCGAGCATCATAACGGGAGAGGTAGCAGCATACACGGCGGGCGAACTGAGGGACTCGTGCTGGCGGATGATGAAGGACGACGTGTTGCGGGGCGAGCGCGGCATCAGAGGCGCGGGGGACGATACGCTAGCGCGGGGGTATCGCTGCCGCTGCTGCTGCTGCTGCTGGGACGAAGGAGAGGCGTCGCGCCACCATGGAGCCCCGGAGCTGCCATCCGAAGCACCCGGACGAGGGAATTTTCGTTCTGGTATGCGATACCCTCGAATTCCCTTGCTACGACTGCGTATAGGCCGCTCCCTACCCCGGGATTGCCTTTTCCAGTGGAGACCCTGGGCAGAGTGTGAAGCAGGGAATCGGTGCGTGCGATAAGGGAATGCAGGAGCGGGAGGAGCGGTGCTGACGGGCTTCAGAGGTCCAATGGACGTGCAGTAGGTGGTAGGCAATTGGAAGTGGACATTGGCGGACATGCCGCCAGTCCATGGTAACATTCTGTGATCAGCGAAATCGGCGGAGCGGGAGAAAGAGGTATAGTAGCTGTGGGACGAGGAGGGGGTGGAGCCTAGAAGGAAGAAGGAAGGAAAGGGCTCGTGGATCACGCTTCCGTCCATAACGGCGTGGTGCGATTACAGTTGCTCGACTGTCTCGGAAACGAGTTTCTTGCTCCAGTAATGTTCGCTGTGTAAAATGCTGAAAAGGTGTGGTGAGGGAAGAAGAGATAGAGTTCATGAAGTCACAGCACAGTGGTGGTGGGATGGTGTGGTAGTGGCAAGGCAGAGTGGGGGAAAAGCTATGGTAGGGTTGGGGACGTGGGAGGGACTTTTTGTGAGGAGAGTGGAGGAGAAGGGAAAGCGAAAGGGAAGGGCATGAGAGGATGAGGCGATGGGGTGGAGGGGAATGCGATAACGAATGGGGTTCGCTTCGCTCGCCTGGTTGGGAAGGCGAGGGAGAGATCACACATGAGAAGACGGAATGCGACTTGCGAGTGAGCAAGAGTATTCGGGCGATGATGACGCATGCGAGGCGTCAAGTGACTCATGCGGAGGGGCGATGGCGTGGATGCTAGGGGAGAGGGGATGGGGACTGGCGGTGCTGCGAGGGTCGCAGCATCGCATGGTAGAGGCGAGGCGGAGCCTCTGGTCCTGATGGACCCTCGAGTGGTGGCGCAAGGGGGGCTGCATCGTCGCTCACTTCGCATGCGACAGTCGAAAGCTGACGGAAATCTGACGGAAAGTTGGCTGACGGAACAGAGTTTCGCGAAGGGACCTTGTGTTGGACGGGTACAGACAGGGGGGACTCTTCGCTGGTTACACCTCTTCGCTTCGCAGAGGGAGACCGTTCCTGACGTGGCGGAGAGCTGGTTCCCCTGTGGAAGTGCATGGTGGAGGGGGATGTGCGCAGCCTCTGCGACAGCTTGGAGTGACTTCCCCAGCACAACGGAGTTCTTCTCTCCAAACAAAATTTGTACAATTTTCTCCGTGGGCTACAGAACACGACGAACAAATGCTTGCCTTCTGGCTTGGTCTAGTTCGTTCCCCCTTGTCACAAGGAACTCTTCTCACGTGTGCTTCGTCGCCACTGCTTCGCTGTTGATCGTTGTGACACTTAGAGCGAGCCAATGATGCGAGGCCAACCAATCAGAGTTGGGGTTGTACAGCAGCAGACGAGGCCGATGACGACAGAAGAGCTGCTTCACATTTGGGTCAGGGAGCCCAAAGCAAATTGATTGGCCTATAAAACACAAGGGTAGACTTGTTCAACACACAACTACACTTGAACTGACCTGTGCCACGCGGCGTCAAGAAGGGTGTTACAGTGCCGAAAAAAAACCACTACTGCCCGTTTCCTCATCAGGGCACCCTGTGTGATCGCAAGGCTGGTGTGATTGCATATGCGACGATTTCCGAAAGTCGCTAACTTGCCCGTTCTAGCCCAGTGCGGTGGAAGACTGATGAGAAGGATGGACGGCTGAGATGAACTGTGCCTACCCTCATCTCATCCAAAAGGGACTGGGAAGGATGATCGCACTAATCGCCGATAAGATCTCGACCCCTCCCATTGGAGCAGCTATCGGGATGCTGCGATTCCCGTAAAACGTAACAAAATTCGTCCGTTCTTTTCCCACCTGATTGCTGGAACTCCCTGACTCGCGGGACAAACACAAGCAACACACAGTGACCCTCCTCACCTACTCATCAAAACCACAAATATCTCTAGATCAGGAACCCTAGTAATACTACACTTCATTGGACTGCAATGAAATCATGAACTAGAGGTGCGAGTACAACTAGACTAGAACATGGTTTTTTCTTCCACCAAGTGGGGTTGAAATATTACAGCACAGCTACCTGCTATCAACTATTAAACCATGTGCAGGAGAATATTGTTCTGAACTGGACTGCCGTTCTCCCTGTTGTGACATGATTCATACTTAGCATTTCTGTAAGTCGATTATCGATAGATAGTATCGAATCCTACTGTAGAAGATAAGTTCGTAAGATGACATCAGCAAATAGCGCTCGTCATGAGGACAGTCGTTTCAGTTACGCGAACAGTCGCGTCTCTTCGGTGTCATTTATGGCGCATAGCGCGATAGTGTCAACATGTACATTAGCGAACAGGTACTTCTTGTCAAACATGTGTATCTGTTATGTTTGTATAGACTGTATAGGGTCGCCTTTTATAGAGTACAACACTTAGGTATATTTCCTTGTACTCCTCTTTCTACTCCATGATTATTCTCCCAGTTCTAAAATGGTATCAGCAGTAGGTAGGTTCCGCCGCCTGCCCACGCTTCCGCCCTAGGCCCTAGCCGCCCCCGCGCCCGTTCTAGTCGACCCCGCACCCGTTCTAGTCGACCCCGCACCCATCTTGGCTGCGCTCTAGCGCCCGTCCTTGCTGCGCCCGCCGCGCCCCGTCCTAGCTGGCCCCATGCCCGTCCTAGCTGGCCCCGCGGCCGTCCTAGCTGCGCCCGCCGCGCCCGTCCTAGCTGGCCCCGTGCCCGCCCTCACGGCCCTCACGCCCGTCCTCGCTGGCCCCGCGCCCATCCAACCGGCCCCTGCGCCCGTCCTAACTGGCCCCGCGCCCGTCCCACCGGCCCCCGCGCCCGTCCTAGTGGCCCCCACGCACGTCCTAGTGGCCCCCGCGCCCGTCCTACCGGCCCCCGCGCCCGTCCCAGCGACCCCCGCGCCCGTCCTACCGGCCCCCGTGCCCATCCTAGTGACCCCCGCGCCCGTCCTAGTGGCCCCGCGCCCGTCCTAGCGGCCCCCGCGCTCGTCCTAACCGGCCCTGCGCCCGTCCTAGTGGCCCCCCCGCCCGTCCTACCGGCCCCCGCGCCCGTCCTAGCGCCCCCCCCCCCCCCCCCGCGCGCTCGTCCTAGCTGGCCCCCGCGCCCGTCCTACAGGCCCCCGCGCCCGTCCCAGGCCAGTCCTCGCCGACCCCGCGCCCGCCGCTACTGGCCCCAGCGCCCGTTCTGCCGACCCTTGCGCGCGCCCTGCCCGTCGATCTCCGGCCCCGTGCCCACCTTCCCGCCGGCCTGCCGCCGATCTGCGTGCGGCCCGCACTTCGTGCCTGCTACTGCACTGCACCCTCTCTGGTACGGTTCTCCATCACCTTGCACTGCACTGCACCCCCCTGCACCGCACGGCACCGCGCTGCACTGCACTGTACCGCACTCTACCTCGCTGCACCGCACTGTACCGCACTGTACCGCACTATACCGCGCTGCACCGCACTGTACCGCCCTGCACTGCACTGTACTGCCCGAGCTTCGCTTCGACGCTGAAGGCCAGCCTCTGGAGTTTGAGGCCTGGCTCGCTGACCTCCGCCGCCACCTCACTGGTCAGCGGCAGGATGGCCACCCGCTCTCGGCACATCTTGACGGTACGCTTTCCTGCCCAGACCCCCCTGCTGTGCTACCCGCTGACCCCACACCTGCTGAGCGCGAGTCTACCGCGACCGCTGCCCTCGCTCGCTCTGTCTGGCTTTCCCGTAACGCTGTCGCCCAGCTTGCCATTAGCAATGCCCTCCCCCCGTCTGAGCGTCCTCGCTTTAGGTCTATCACCACTGCCCAGGCTTTCTTAGATGCTGTTATCCGGCGCTATTCCGCCCCGCCTGCTGCCTCGGTGGGTCGCCTGATCCTACCGATGCTCTTTCCTGACCTTGCGTCTTTCCCCACCGTCGCTGACCTGGCTGCCCAGCTGCGCACGATAGATGAGACCTGGCGCGCTGCCTGCACTGACGCACAGCTTAGAGCCCACCAGCCACCCCTTACCTCTACCCTCTACCTGCTTGCCACCCGCCTCCCTGATCGCCTTGCCGCTGCTCGTAACCGCATCCTTAGCGTTCACCCCGGTGACCTCACCCTCACGGACTTTGTAGATACCCTGACTGTTATTGAGACCCGCCACCGCTCTATCGCTCAGGCGAGCGCTACAGTGCCGGTCCCTATCTTTCAGGGTTGTGCCCCCGCTCAGTGCACATTCTCCGATGGTTCTGCAGCAGTGGCTGAGACCGCCGCTGCAGCGCAGTTTCGTCCGGGGAAGGGCCGCCGCCCCAAGGCTGGGCGCGGCGGAGGTGGTGGGGGTGCCAGTGGAGGTGGTGGTGGAGTCGGGTCGTCTGGTGGTGGAGTGGACGAGGGGACCTGCCAGGTCCAGCTGAACAGTCGCCCCAGCAGCCGCAGCAGCACCAGCAGCCGCAGCAAACGCAGCAGTCGCCGCAGCCGCAGCAGCCGCCGCAGACGAGGCAGGCAAGTGCCCTCTTGCTCGGGTGGCCTGGCGCTGGTGGTGGTCGTGCGCGTGGTGGTGTGCCGGGTGGCGGTTCGGGAGGCGTGCGCTGTCAGTACCAGCTCCAGACCAGTCCTCGCCGCGGCTTCGTTTGCGGTTAGATCGGTCACACCACTGTCCGCTGTTTTCGCCGCCTGGACGACCTGTTTCGTCAGCGCTTCGGCCCGTCGCCCGACCTCCCAGACTGGCACAGCTTGCTTAGTCGTGGAGTTCAGATTTTTGACATGGACACGGATGCCATTGTTTCTGCCCTGCATGTGATGTATGCTGATGACTCTAGTGTGCTCCCCTCTTATTACTCCTTGTCGCCTAGTGTAGGTGTGCCTAGCTTAGCCTCCCCTGCTGCGTCGGGCGTAGGAGCTCCTGCTTTGTTTAGCCTTGGTGCTGTCACCGTTACCACGTTGCCAGCCGCCACTACTTCACTTTCCTTCACCTTGGACTTTGGCGCTTCCCGGTGCTTCTTCCGCGACTCTACTACGCTGACGCCGCTCCCTGTTCCTGCTGCAGTTTCTCTTGCTGACCCCTCCGGCGGTCCGGTCATCACTCGCAGCTCCACCACCCTTCCCTGTCCGGCGGTTCCTTCGGGCTCTCTCACAGGTCTGCATATCCCCTCATTCTCCAGGAACCTAGTTTGTGTCAGCTGCCTCCAGGACCTTGGCGTCACCACTACGTTCCCTGGTCACGAGCGGTATGCTGTCTGTACCGAGGCCGCCACTGGTGCCCCCCTGTCCACGTTCCTCCAGGACCCGGTGTCCGGCCTGTTCACCCTGGACACCGTGACCCCCCCAACTGGGGCGCCCCTTCAGGTGGCTGCGTCTACCCAGGTTGCTGCTGCTTACTCCTGTCGGTCTGTCACTCACCCGACTCTCCTCTGGCACCACCGTCTAGGTCACTCTGCGCTCCTGCGTCTGCGTCACATGTCCCAGCACGGTCTCGTCCTTGGTCTCCCTAGCTCGTTCCCCTCTTTTCCCTCCTCCCCC